TGTCTGAAATATGTCATCGATATCGTTCATCCTCTCTATGGTGAAGGTAAAATGCCGTTTGTCGACCATAGTGGCCTCTTAAACTAAAGAGCTTCTTCCTCCATCAACCTGCATTTATTCTGGATTCAAATACTACCGTCAAACAAAGTACACCCAATTTGGCTTAATAAAGGCAGAACATATGCGGAAAGATGTAATCAATGGCTAGCTCTTTGTAATGAGAGGTTCGCATTCTTGCTCCCCACTGAAAAGCTCTGGACCTATCACAATTGAAATGGGAAGCTATTCTCTCCATCTCAACAACAAATCGGCTTAGAGATAGCCTTGAATCTCCACATAAGCATGAGGTGCTACACCTTCAAACCTTGAAAACTGCGATCGATTTACAAATAAAAGATTAGAAACAACCTATGGGACACCAAGGAAAGTATGCCACATACAAAGATCGGTGGGAGGCATCTGAACAGAGATCGGTGGCATTCCCGGAGGAGCAACATTGGTGGTCGGAATAAGCGGAACTGAGAAAGTGGGCGCAGGCACCGATGCGAATGACTGCATCTGCGGTGGCACAGGCAGCTGAGATGTAGGGGCAAACATAGCGGCCAGCGGCGCCTGAGGTGGAGGCGGAGGTGGTGTCATTTGTTGTTGAGCCTCTACTAACAGTGAAGGCGATGTCATGGGAACTGGAGGCGTTGTTTCTAGCTGAACTTCATGACAGTCCGTCGAGGGCAAAACAAGAGCAGGTGGGGTAGATGGTGGCGTGAAATTGATGCCTTCAAACAGATTACTCGGTAGTGGTGCTGGCGGCGCCAGAGTCACACCGCCTATTGATTCCACCGATGGATACGCTGGCGGGGGGTGTGGAAGTGGCCCGCTCGTCACTTCAGTGGGCTGAAAACATAGTAGAACAACCTTAAAAGCTTGACCAATTCCAGGACACAATAAAATGGTGACCATCCGAAGCAAATTCCGGGGCCGTTCTCTGGAATTATGGGTGAAACGTTAAAAACCCAGAATCTAATGTAGTTGACAAAAAACTTAGATGCGAGAGTGAACATGAGTACCTCCCATTTTGGATCACTTGATTGCTTAATAATCAAAAAGTGGTCAAACTCATACTAGTGCGACAGGAAAAGGCAAACACATTCTATACTCGCAAAACTGGTTATAAGACAGCTGACACTAACCAATAAAATCTCGCAACTTCCCATCTGCTATTCCGCCGCCTTATAACTAATGGCGAATACAAAGCAAAACACCTTTCAGGATCTGCCCAATACCATATTGGCAAAAATGCATATTCCCCACGCGACATACATGCTCTAAGTTAAGCAAAAGGACGTGAAGAGCAACTATTAAGCCCAAAAAAATAGTGATGAAGCAAATAACAACTCACGGAGCATTGAGGAGGTAGAGAAGGATAAACTTGATTGCTGAGAGGTAGCTGCTGTGACATGTTTTGTTGGTACGACTGTTGGTTAGCTAACTGTTCGTTCATTGGTATAGCAGTAGAATTCAAACCGCTAGGAGCAACAACACTACCGAGAGGAGGATGAATATGAGGGACTTTGGGTTCTGATGCCGGAGGTGGAGGGATTCGGTGGAGGTAGCCAAAGCCAATTTCGCAGCCAAGCATACCATCTCCGCCCCAAGAGAGGTTAGGAATCAGGGTCACCTCGCGACACTGATCAGTTGTGCTGTTGTAAACGTAAAGACGTAACGGTTGACCATTGTGCGCCTCAACCACGGAGAAGAAATCCTCTGACTGGAAAATAAAGTTAACTTCCAGATTCAAATAACGAATAAGAAGGAAAAAGCATCACAAGATGAGCAAGTGTGCACATGAACTAACTCT